GTGATAATTTCTACGTATATTAGCACTATTAATATCAGTGCTGCACTTCACGTATTCAAGCATAGAATAATCGTCTGCGCTCCGCCCAACGATGAATTTTATTTCGTGGCTCCCCATAACAAATTAGACATCAAATGACTCATTGACATCATTTACTGACATTTAAAGACATCATTTACTGACGAACTCTACACTGACGTCAAAATACCTGCTAATAAAATAATTCCATAGAATTCATGAATAAATAAATAAAAATTATAAAAATATTTAATTCAATTACTGTCTTTACCCATTAATATTCTTTAAATGATTTCTAATAACTGAAGATATTCTTTCAACTGCATTATTTAGCGAATTACACTGCTCATAACTTTCGGTATCTTCAAATTAAATTTGCTTTTAATGTGGAAAAAAAAGCCACGGCAATGTATTAAACTTTTGATATTACCGACGAAATTTCATACACCTGTGACATAATATATCGTTTATAATTATTATTGTTAAAATTTCTTTAAACTATAACTAAATCACATGTTCGAAAGCACTCCGTCTTTCACACTATTTCTGTAGAAAATTGGCAACCGTAATCGCGTCCAAATTTGCTAAAAATGCTTTTGTATTCATTTTTCAGTTGTTTGCATTTTAGCGCTGAATTTAATCTGTCGTATGACAGACATGAATAATTTTTCGTTTCCACTTTTACTTCCTTGTACGAAGTAAAAAGGAAGTATTGTAATCGCGAAAATTTTCAGGCATCATATTTCAACGAAAATATCCATTTTGGCGGCTATCGAATGCAATTTAACGATGCTTTTGCGTGACATCTGTACGTAAGGACAGGATAAAAGACCTTTTCCCCCCAAAAAATTATATAAAACTGATTTAAAATGAATTCTAAAGAGAATTTTTCGTGGCGTCTGTGTGTACGTATGTACGTACGTATCTCGCATAACTCAAAAACGAGTAGCCTCAGAACGTTGGAATTTTGTATGTAGGACTGCCATAACATGTTAATGTGCACCTCGTATTTTGGTTGCAATCGGCCGCGCGAAACGTATATATTTCTTTTTGGACATTCTTCACTATGTATTTACTTTTGGTTTTAACTTTTACCCTTGCCTGCACGAATGACGAAACACGAATTGAATGATTGAAGAGTTAGGTTTGGAGGCAACTTCCCCTTGATAAGTCTGTCTCCTGCCTGCTCAACTTATTCACTTATGCATTTAAAAAAAAATTTAGATTAATTTTAATTTGCTAAATTGGTGAATTTATTTTCATTGTTTGGTTTTGCACTTTATTTACTTATGCTATCTGAATTTAAATGATATTGTAGATTAGTTCGAAAATTAAATCTTTTATATGTTTGCACACATTTTTTTAAAAAATTATTTTAACTATTTAAATTTGCTTATTTGCATGTTTGTTAAAATTTAAATATATGTATATATATATCCACTCTGTTAACCGACTCAGTCATCTCAGTTTCTTTACTCTCATACGTTGGCATTTTTTGATTTAAAAATGATTAAATTATGCTGTTCTTATCTTCCGGTTAAGGTTTATATGCCTTTCGTAAATCTGCATGCAATATTTGTGGAGTTATCAAAAATTTAAAAGTGCAGCTAAGCCTAATGAATTTTGCGATGGCGGCACATGTTTGTTTATATTTAAAACTTGGCAAAATAGCGGATTTGTTGCCAATCTAGAGAAACTAAGCTTCCCAACAACAAAGATAACGCTTCTTTTATTATTGCGAATTAAATCATGTTTAACCCATTCTGGAATTTATTCCAGGAAATAAGTGTTTAAGATTTACTTCGTAATTTTTTAATATAGATATTTTGAGTTTTATGTATTTTTGCCTTGTCAGGAAGTGAGAACTGAATTAATTGAATGAGAAATACTGAATCGTCTGTGAAAAACTGTTTCTTTTTTGTTTTATTTGCTTAATTTCTTTTATACATCGTTTTAGATTTATTATAGTTTTTGAATAGAACATATGGCAACGATTAGATAACTCTTCAAATGATATAAATTTATATGCATTCTGAGTTATAATATCAACGATATGTAACGCTGTTAAGTTAACCTAGCGCCAGAGTGTCGCTATGGTAAACAAATACAGTGAATTTTAAAGCATGCATTTATTTTATTGTGGTTTATGCGCTGTCGGCGAAGTAGATTTAATTCAATCCAATAAGTGTAAATGAAATGCAAGAAAAAATGCGTATGATTTAATATTCCGTGCAAGGAAGTCATGTGGTGTACACATCAGACTTTTTTTTTTCGTAAATCTACTACCTGTTTTGTTTCAGAAAACATTAAAATAAATATTTTGTTAAAAGCATTTAAATAATATAGACCAGCGATTCTCAACCGATGGTACGCGTTCCTTTGGTGGTACGCAAAGTATTTTTAACTTTTAAATTCAAAATCTCGTGAAGAAAAAGAACAATTGATAAACATTTCCCATGGTTGAATTCTAATTGAAGATTGCAAAATGGCACACTTGTTAACTTTTAGCTGAACCGGAAAATAATAATAATAATAATTTAAAGGGGGAAAAATTAAACATTTCAAATAAAGCTATTAAATTTGTATTGCCTTTTTGTACAACCTATTTGTGTGAACAAAGATTTTCTTCAATGTTATATTTGAAAAATAAAACAGAAAATTAAATGTGGATCCTAATTTACGGTTACAATAACATAAAACTCACACATAAAGAAACTGATCTCTCTTAAACAGGCCCACGTTTTACACTAAATTTTAGAATTAAATTATTATCACTTAAATTTTGATAGTAAAAAATGTAATAAATTTTTAATCTAATATATTTATGTGTTCAAATTTAATATAAATAGACAATAGGTTGTGAAAATGGCAAAATATTTTTTTTAAAGATTTCTATTGAGAAACTGAAAAAAAAAAAAAAAAAAAAAAAAAAAAAAAAGAAAGAAAGAAAGATCATTGCAAAATGTACTAGTGTACTTACTACTAGTACATTTTGCAATGATTACTAACATTTTTCAGTTTTTGTTTTGATGGTACGAGTTAGTCAAAAGGTTGAGAACCGCTGATATAGACTATTTATTCTTCATCAAATAATCATCAGCGTTTTTACATTTTCTACAATAATTAAAACTTTAAGTCACAGATACCGCGCTCGCAGTGAAATGATAACCATGGATTATTTTATATAAAATCCTCAAAACTTTAATCAATAGGTTTTAGCAATTTTATTAGAAATCTAAGTGAAATTATTTTACATAATTTAATAGTTTTTCATTCTATTAGGTTGTGAAAAAAAAATTGTATCCAGCAACAGAATGATCACTGGCAGTAAAACGGCCTGAGAAATAATAGCATCTTGTTAATTTAAATTATAGTTTTTATTTACAAATGCCATTACATTTCTCAAATAAAAACTATTTTGCAGCAAAAGAATTCATAATTCTTAACTGATGTTACGGTAAGTAGATCAACTAAATGCTGTTTCGTTTTTAATTTTAGTCAGGAAGTTTTAGTATGAATAACTGATAAAAGTAATTCAATATTACTTTGAAAATCAGACACTAACACATATATTAATTAGGATTACTTTAACTTAGTAAAATTTTCTGAGTACTACTAAAATCTGTTTAGACAAAGCAACGAATAAAATATTGTGCTGAAATTTCGATACTACATCAAAGCTAATAAATATAAAAGTAAAATACTACACAAAATAGATAAAAGTAATGTTTTAGAAATTTGCCATAATAAAGAGCATTTACAGAATTAAAAAATAATTTTTAAAAAAAGGCATGCTTTCCGATTTTAAATTACGTCCAAAGGGGCATTTTTTAATGTGTGTTACCTTTTTTTTTTTTTTATTAGATATCATGTTCTTTGCACTCAAACCAATAAAATTCAAATTGAATTTTATTGTCTGATTCGACAGCATTATTTGAAATAATTCGACAGCATTATTTGAAAATAATTTTAAAATGAGCATATCTTTAGAATTTCCGATACGCAGTCTCGCGCGCTGGAGAAAAAGGTTCATTCCCCGTAGAGTGCGGTACTCAAACCTATGATTAATCGATAACGCTTTTGACTAACACTAAATTCCAAATTAGGGCTTTCCCAGATGCCCATATTTGGTGGAAATGATCACGTAATTAAAAATTTGATGGCTCTAGGTACCGTTGTTTTATCACAATGCGAGAAACATACATACATTTATGTAGATTCTTCATTATTTAATTTCTTTAAATATAATACAGCGCGATAATATTTGGTGGCAACAATTTGAAAAGTGAATCAGACACTTATAGTGAACCAACGCAAAATGCCAAAAGGAAAATAATAATCCTTCAGGGCAAATTGCCCCTTTGGACTTAAACGAAACCAACAGAGAAATTTTCAAATTAATTTTTTTTTACAAATTACTTCATAATCTGTTCTTTAAATTATTTAGCTTCTTATTCTAAAATTTTAATTTTTCCAGTGACATAGAACAAAATAATTATGAAAATTTTGCTTCAATGATAATATTTAAAAAAATTAATGGCAAGTCATAATAAACAAAAAAGAAATAGCCATTTATTCCTTTTTTAATGACTCTCAACGGATTATCAACAAAGATGTGAAAAAGTTGATAAGAGCTTCATTCAAACACGTAGATAACTAACATCTCCAGCATAGAACAATTTTCGTTTATCTAAAAAGAATAATGCTCGCGGGAACAATGGCAACAAAGTTGCAATCAATAAATGCATAATTCCAAACTACCAAGAAACGATTTTAATATTTTTTTAAGTGCGATTAACGATAACGAATCAAAAAAGTTCCAATTCCTTTTTTTCGCAGAATAATTCGAAAAAAGTTTAGCATTGCCCTGCGTAACTAAACTTCAGAGCGAAGTCAGCATGCGCGAAAGCTTTGTTTACTAACGAATGCGGCGCTTGCTTTGCAGCTCCTGACAAAGAAAAGGGGAGGGAGATGATACTTACCCATTCAAATATTTCTGAATGAAAGATTCCTGGGGCGTAGAGCCGGCTTGGGATGACACTCCAGCCTGAAGATTCTCGATTTTGGAATTATCCGTGTGAGGTGGTATCTGCCTTAATAATCCTGCGATTTTTTCTCGTAGCGTGGGCATGGCGATGCCGCAGCCGACGCCACTGTTCAGAGATGTTCGACGATAGAAATCCTCTTTGGAAGTACCAAACAACTCCTTACTCTTCACTTGCAGGAGCTACTGCGCTGCATCCGCGTCAAAACACACCATGGTGTGGGGACGGGATTTGTTGTATAGGGTTGCTATTCATTAAGCAAGTGATGCGTTGTTGGCACGATTTGGCGAGGATGTTCGTTTCTCTTCGAACGCCATCTGTGCAAATGGTGTGGCGATGTTCTTGCAAAATCCTGCGTTGCATTAAATACATTTAAATGGTTTTTTTTAAATAAAATAATATAAATTTTAATAAATTTAATATTTTTAATAAAAATTTTATAAGTAATATTTTAATAAAATAATATAAATATTTTTAAAATAAATTTTAAATGGTCGATAAATCATTGCACAAAAAGTAAAATGGTCTTTGATTCTATGGCCAACGACAACAGCAAAAAGCTAGTCAATTTTATTAGGAAGTTTATTAACTCAGATGCATATTTAAAGAGCAACGTTTGCTTGCGTTAGTGTAGCTTTTCTGGATTTTATTTTAGCCCAAGGGTATTAGCCCAGAAGGGCTATTAATTTTGTGTTGGCATTTTGCGGCGTTTCACTATAAATTTCACTTTTCAAATTGTTGCCATACAATATTAGAGCCCTGTATTATATTTAAAGAAATTAAATAATGGAGAATCAGCATAAATGTATATATGTTTCTCGCACTGTGGTAAAACAACAGTACCTAGAACCATCGAATTTCGAATAACGTAAGGGTTTACGTGTGAAAACATGATATTTAATAAATAAAGGTAACACTCATAACGTTAGAAAAACGCCCATTTGGGCGTAATATAAAAATCTGAGAGCTTTCAGATTTTTTTCCCTTCATTTGCTAAATATTTCAGAATTTCTGAAGTAACCAAAATCACAGTTTATTAGCTGTGTTTGGAAAAATCCTGATCAGATCGTTTTAGTTTATAAATTATCATTTAGTTAATAATTTTATTTCGGGGAAAAAGAGTAACATTTTTGGTAAATAATAATCACCAAGAAAAGTTTCAGAAAAAAAATGATTTAATAATTTTTAACCTACATTTAAAATAGTTTAATTTATTTTTCCTTCCAGGATCCATGTTTCCCGCTTAACAAATAATACTAAACCCTGTTATCAATAGAATTTCATTAAAATTGCATTTTTAGAATTACGAAAAGACTCGTTAAGGATCTGTTTAACAGTTAAAACAAACTATTTGGTAGTTAAATAGTTTCATGCTACCACCTTAAAAGTCAATAATATACTCCCAACAAGTCATCAGACAAACCCACCAAGTCAATCAGAATCATAATTTTCGTTCTGCAGCTTCTTTCCAAATTTAACACTTATAGAACAAATTTAAGTCTTTGACAGGTGGCGAAACTGATCTAAGTTCGTAATTTCCTCTCAAGTGTCTTTTTCGAATTTTGTACGTGAAGATATGGAGTATTTTAATGTATATTTTACTAAGAGGATTTTTCGCTGCGTGTGGAATCATATAAATGTAGTTAGATGTTCCGTATACCAACAGGACAGCCACTAGACTTTTTTCCGCTCGGTGCAAACTCCGAGAATTCAAAATTTGGCTACCCGGTTCCTTACTAAATTCTAACAATTTTGCCACCCCTAAATTCTATCGTCCGGTGCTGTCGCCCCGGTTGCGTACACTCTGGTGCCGGCCCTGTATACAAACTCTTCCATCCCCAGGTTTGAAAATATTTTCACATATCCTTTATCTTAACCCTTTATCTTATTCTTTATCTTAATCTTTTATCTTATTCCTTTATCTTATCTTTTATCTTTTCGAGTAACTTTGTAACTGGAAATACATATTCAGAATCAATACGTGAAAAATAAAAAACGTAGGCACTCTTTTTACAGGAGCACTGTATAATAGCGCATTATTGATAAACATATTTATTGAAAAGATTATTGCTTATAGCCGGTAAAAGTGTTTCTAAGATAAATGCGTCTTTTTACAGGAAATAGTGTAGTAAAACTTGATTAGATATTGATTTCTGTAAAACGAAAGTCTGCGAAATTTGTTATTTGATAATCTACCAATCTTTTATGTGCACTAGACGTCGCTTAATGTGGTCGCAGTGAATGTTATCATTCGGGTATTGTTATCGTATTGCCGAATTTTCTCATGTTTGTATATAATAACATGGAGAATACTTCGCTTATTATGGTGAAAAATTCGGTTAATATGATCGAAATGTTAAAGGTTATATTTTTTAGTCGTCAAATGGGGTCAGATTATTTTTAGTTGGCAAATAAAGTCAAATTACAAAGTATGGCAAATGACAAAGAAACGTCGTCTGATAATGGATTAAATCGCCAAACAACTTGGTTTCGATTTGATCAGAATTATTTAAAATTAACCAAAAAAAAAAAAAAAAAAAAAGCAACTTCAGTTTGGCGTAGATTTTGAACTGCTCTATTAATTTTGTGTGTGATAAGAGGCAGGTCCCTCTTCTTCAGGAGGAAAAGCATAAATTCTATAGAATTTTTTTTGTTTAGAGTTCTACCAAAAAAATATTAATTTAAAACCCTATTAGAAAAATAGGGAAAATTTTATAGTATTTTGTCTCCTTTTTCCTTCCTCTTGAAAAAAAAAAAAAAAAAAAAAAAAAAAAAAAAAAAAAAAAAAAAAAATTTACTAGATTGCTTTCCCCTCTTTACCCCCCTTAATTTTTAATTTTACATTAATTTTTAATTAATTATTTTTAATGAATTTTACATTAATTTTAATTAACGTAAACTTAAAAATTAAGCCAACAAAAAAGCTTGTTCATTACCTCGTGAGAGAGAACATTAGCTTGTTCTCTCTAACGAGGAATGCCCTCTACGTATTAAGATTAGAAGCTCAGCATCGGTGAAATAATTTGCAGAAACGTTATGAGCGGTTCATAAATGAACTTTTGCGTTAAAAACATTGTGAAACAGATCATAATTATTATTATAAATTGGTATTAGCCCAAATAGGCGTTAGCCCAGAAGAGCTATTTGTCTCAAAACGGTATTTTGAGTAGAATCACTTTAAATGTCCAAATCACTTTTCAGTTTGTTGCCATCAAATATTATCGCCCTGTTTTATATTTAAAGAAATTAATGAAGAATCTGCATGAATGTATGTATGTATGTTTCTCGCACTGTGATAAAAAAAAAAAAAAGTAACTTGGTTAATTTATTTATTAGGATAATTAATATTTGTATTAAGGGTACTGTTTGTAATTTTTTATTATTATTTTGGTGTAATTTCATTGTAATTTTTTATGTGTAATATTTATTGTAATTCCATTATAAATTTTTTATATGTAATACATTTCTATTAAATTTTTTTTGATAAAATTGTTCTACAGATAAAATTCTGTGCAGTTTTTAAATTTAATGTTTGGTGTTCCCTTTACACATTTTCCCGGTACATTTAAAAGCCAGACGGAGGCTGGCCGCATAGCATCTAGTCTATTTCATATTTTGCAAAATTTTAACGAATCTTTGATTAAAAACTCAACGATTTCAAAGCGAGCAGTGATAACACCACGGAATAAAACAATTTAATCTCCAGCGCGCGAGACTATCTATTGGAAATTCTAAAGATATGCTGTTTTTAAATATTTTAAGCCCAAAGGGGCATTAGAGGATCAGCATCGGTTAAATAATTTCCAGAAACGTTAGGAATCGTTCATAAATGAACCTTTGCGTTAAAAACGTTGTGAACAACTCATTTTTTCCCTTTTTCCTATTTAAAATGCTGAGAAGATTCATATTTGTATGTTTCTAATAACTTTTATATTAAATTAGTTGAACTCTATCGTTGTTTTGTAGGGCATTATTTCTCATCGTTTAATATTATTAAAATAGTGGTGGACAAACGGACTCTTAGTAAGAGGCGCCTACTATATTATGATAAAAAAATAGCTATGTGTTTTTTTTTAGGATACAAGCAGCTTTTCTAGTCACATTACGACGTTAGTTATAAAGCCGTACTTTAGAAATAACATCTTTATTATTCCAAGAGAACACGAAGTATGCCTGAAGAGTCTAATTTGTATGCATGCCTAAATTTGTATGCATGCAGGGTATTCCCATTTCTATGCCAATGCCACAAAGTTATTTACAAAACAAATTTCTCCATTCAGTTTTCCATATCTAATTAGAAGGGTGACAAATCCTAAATTTCTCAAATCTTTCACATTAGAAGAAGAAGAAAAATCTGATGTGTACACCACATGACTTCCTTGTACGGAATATTAAATTATACGCATTTTTTATTGCATTTCATTTAAACTTATTAGACTTGAATTAAATTCGCCGCACGCATAAACCACAATAGAATAATTTTCTTTAAAATTCACTGTTTTACCATACCGACACTCTG